GTAAACTTTTGCGCCTCAGGGATGGTCACGATAACATCCTGAGATGTCTCGGCTTTTTCGTTCGCCTTTTGACAAAGAACACAGTGGTCTAAATGTTTCTCATCAAGTTGGTAGCCGGCATCGTCTCGTAATTCATGATGTCCTGCCGTCTGGTGCCGCGACAGAGTTGATGCTTGTTCGCTCAACATCTGAGCAGCCTGCTCCAACCATTCTTGATGGGTCTGGACTAAATCTTGCTCGTAGATAACATGGCCAGATTCATCTTCGGTCTGCACACTCTGCACTTCGAATGCTGCGTCTGATAAAGCTCGAGCTATGTCAGTTGCAGAGTGGTCGGGAAAGTGGACTATCGTCACCTCGTGTGATATATAGTTCGCGGTAATCGTTAGCGGCGCTGGCTGTAATGTACTGAGGACCTCCTGGATGTAGGTGAGGCAGGAGGCACAGTGGACGTTGTTTATCAGAACAGTCGTCGTGACATGGCCCGCTGGCGGCGGGTGAAGTGGATGGAGTGCCATTCGTCTGAAACAATCATCAATGACTTGATCGATGCTCGAAATGTTTTGCTGGCAACTAGATGCTGGTTGCTAGATGGTGAACGGTTGGTGAACATTACACTGAGTTGTCCCAGAGGGCAATGAATCAACAATAACTGCTGCAGACGCATATTAGAAATAGGTACGATTGATCTTACCTAGGTTGCTAAGTCTGCGCCACCCTACATTACGTGACTGGGCGGATTTTGGCCGGTGTACGGAGGTGGCTGCTTTGATGTTAATGTGCTCAAACTTGCTCAACCCAGCTCAACCCTGCCCGACCCCGCTCAACTCAAACTTGCTCGAACTGCTCAACCCTACTCGACCCTACTCAAAAAAGAAAGTTTAACTTGCAAAATAGTCAGTGTCTGTAATGCGTCTCGTGCACCAGAGTACCCCTGTTGGGTACTTCCGCACATATTGAACAGCCGACAGACCCTAGTACGGTGGCGTGTTAAAGGACAAGGAATGCGATCACCACAAAAGTCCTCCACGAGCTGCAGCGTGGCTTTACGCTCTTGCCGCCCCAGACACAGGCAAACGTCAGCTGTCCACTTGTGGCACTTCCAAGCCTTCTTACGCAGTCTTGGCGAGTTGGCTCCGTTTGCTTTTTGCTGGGTCCAAGGTTCCCCAAAATCGGTTCCTGCCCTGGAACTCGTGCCAGCTCTAAAGAAGCTAATGCCACTCGCAGACGGACTAACGAAGGCTACATTCTCAACGACAGACTGCTAGTCGCTGACTGATCCATTTTCATCGCTCGGACTTCGCCTGAGAGGGGTTGAAAATCCCAGCAAGCAACGGGCACTGCTTCACTTTTATCCAAAAGCCACTTTCTGACTCTGCTGCCGGCCGTTTCTTACTGCCTCTCGAGTCGACAACTCATTCGACCTTCGTTATTCGGTCATCTCGACTTTATGGAATCCTCTCGAACCTCTCTCGCCCCGTGCATTGCCTGCCACCCTGATGGGGTCACTTGGGAGCACCGCCCAGATGCTGGGCCTTGTTGCGATGGTAAGTTCTGCCTCCAACCTAGAATGAACCTT